TGTGATACATTCCATCGATACCTAGTTTATTGATATTTTTTAGCATAAAGGGCTCTTGAATTTTGTCGAAGGCCTTCTCTGCATCTATTGAGATAATTATGTGGTTTTTGTCTTTGGTTCTATTTATGTGATGGATTACGTTTATAGACTTGCATATGTTGAACCAGCCTTGCATCCCTGGAATGAAGCCTACCTGATTGTGATGGATAACTTTTTTGGTGTGCTGTTGCAATTGGTTTGCCAGTATTTTATTGAATATTTTTGCATCTATGTTGATCATGGATATTGGCTTGAAGTTTTCTGTTTTTGTTGGGTCTCTGCCTGGTTTTGATATCAGGATGATGTTGGTCTCGTAAAATGAGTTAGGGAGGATTCCCTCTTTTTGTATTGTTTGGAATAGTTTCAGAAGGAATGGTACCAGCTCCTCTTTGTACATCTGGTAGAATTCGGCTGTGAACCCCTCTGAACCTGGACTTTTTTTGGTTGATAGGCTATTAATCGCTGCCTCAACTTCAGCCCTTATTATTGGGCTATTCGGGGTTTCAACTTCCTGGTTTAGTCTTGGGAGAGTGCAGGTGTCCAGAAATTTATCCGTTTCTTCCAGATTTACTGGTTATGTACATAGAGTTATTTGTAGTAATCTCTGATGGTAGTTTGTATTTCTGTGGAATTGGTGGTGATATCCCTTTATCATTTTTTATTGCATCTATTTGATTCTTCTCTCTTTTCTTTTATATTAATCTGGCTAGCAGTCTGTCTATTTTGTTGATCTTTAAAAAAAAAACAGCTCCTGAATTTATTGATTTTTTGAAGGGTATTTTTTTGTGTCTTTATCTCCTTCATTTCTGCTCTGATCTTAGTTATTTCTTGTCTTCTGCTAGCTTTTGAGTTTTTTTGATCTTGCTCCTCTAGGTCTTTCAATTTTGACTATAGGGTGTTGATTTTAGATCTTTCCTCACTCTTACATGGGCATTTATTGTTATAAATTTCCCTCTACACACTGCTTTGAATGTGTCCCAGAGATTCTGGTATGTTGTGTCCTCATTCTTGTTGGTTTCGAAGAACATCTTTATTTCTACCTTCATTTCATTGTTTATCCAGTTGATATTCAGGAGCCAGTTGTTCACTTTCTAGAAAGTTGTACAGTTTTGAGTTACTTTCTTAATCCTGAGTTCTAATTTGATTTCACTGTGGTATGAGAGACTGTTATGATTTCTGTTCTTTTTCATTTGCTGAGGAGTGATTTACTTCCGATTATGTGGTCGATTTTAGAGTAAGCGCGATGCGGTGCTGAGAAGAATGTATATTCTATGGATTTGGGGTGGAGAGTTCTGTAGATGTCTTTTAGGTCTGCTTGTTCCAGATCTGCATTCGAGGCCTGGATATCCTTGTTGATTTTCTGTCTCGTTGATCTGTCTAATATTGACAGTGGAGTGTTAAAGTCTCGCACTATTATTGTGCGGGAGTCTAAGTCTCTTCGTAGGTCATTAAGAACTTGCTTTATGTAATCTGGGTGCTGCTGTTTTGGGTGCCTATATGTTTAGGATAGTTAGCTCTTCTTGTTGTATTGATTCTTTTAGCATTAGATAAATCCTTTCTTTGTCTCTTTTGATATCTGTTGGTTTAAAATCCATTTTATCAGAGACTAGGATTGCAACCCCTGCTTTTTTTGCTCTCCATTTGCTTGGTAGATCTTCTTCCATCCCTGTATTTTGAGTTTATGTGTGTCTTTGCATGTAAGATGGGTCTCCTGAATATAGCACACTGATGGGTTTTGACTTTTTATTCCGTTTACCAGCCTGTGTCTTTTGATTGGGGCATTTACAGTTAGCATTAGTATTGTTATGTGTGAATTTGATCCTGCCATTTTGTTACTGGTTGTTTGTTTTGTCCATTGGTCGATGCAGTTTCTTCATCGCATCTTTGGCCTTTACCATTTGGTTACTTTTTGCAGTGGCCGGTACTGGTTGTTCCTTTCCATGTTTAGTGCTTCCTTCAGGAGCTCTTGAAAGGTAGGTCTGGAGGTGATAAAATCTCTCAGTAATTGCTTGTCTGTAAAGGATTTTATTTCTCCTTCATTTATGAAGCTTAGTTTGGCTGGAAATGAAATTCTGGGTTGAAAGTTCTTTTCTTTAAGGATGGTGAATATTGCCCCCCCACCCCTTGCTTGTAGGGTTTCTGCCAAGAGATCTTCTGTGAGTCTGATGGGCTTCCCTTTGTGGGTGACCCAATCTTTCTCTCTGGCTGCCCTTAGCATTTTTTCCTTCATTTCAACGCTGGTGAATCTGATGATTATGTGCCTTGGGGTTGCTCTTCTTGAGGAATATCTTAGTGGTGTTCTCTGTATTTCCTGTGTTTGAATGTTGGCCTACTTTGCTAGGTTGGGGAAGTTCTCCTGGATAATATTCTGAAGAGTGTTTTCCAGCTTGGATTCATTCTCCCTGTCACATTCAGGTACACCGATCAAGCGTAGATTAGGTCTTTTCACATAATCCCATATTTCTTGGGGGGTTTGTTCATTTCTTTTCACTCTTTTTTCTCTTTTCTTGCCTTCTCTTTTTATTTCATTTAGTTAATCTTCAATCTCTGATATCCTTTCTTCTGCTTGATCTATCTGACTACTGAAACTTGTGTATGCTTCGCGAAGTTCTCATGCTGTGTTTTTCAGCTCCGTCAAGTTGTTTAAGGTTTTCCCTAGGCTGGCGATTCTGGTTAGCATTTTGTCTAACCTTTTTTCAAGGTTCTTAGTTTCTCTGCATTGGGTTAGAACATGATCTTTTAGCTCAGAGAAGTTTGTTATTACCCACCTTCTGAAGCTTCTGTCAGTTCATCAAATTCACTTTCTGTCCTGTTTTGTTCCCTTGCTGGTGAGGAGCTGTGATCTCTCAGGGGAGGAGTGGCGTTCTGGACTTTGATGATTTCATCCCTTTTGCTCTGGTTTCTTCCTATCTTCATGGATTTATCTATTTTTGATCTTTGAAGCTGGTGATTTCAGTTGGGATCTCTGAGTGGATGTCCTTTCTGTGAAAGTTGGGGTTATTTCTCCTGTACGAGGCTTTTGTTGTTGTTGTTTTACACAAGAGTCAGTGCTCTGCTTAAGACTGTCTGTTATTTGCCTGTGGAGGCCGAGGCTGGGCTGCCTCCGTCTTGGCCAGGCTGCTGTTTATTCTCCCCATGGTTTCTGCTTACACAGGTGAGACTTCCCAATGGCAGGCGTCTTTCCCTCCACCAAGCCTGCTCATCCCAGATGGTGCTCAATCTGATGTGTTAACTTCGAAACTCTCCCACGAGAGGGCTTCCAATTGCTGGATCTTGTTGGGGTGGGACCTGTCTGGCCATATCATCTGACTCCCCACTTTCAATTCTCCCTCCTTCTGTGGGATGGGCAGTTCTGTCCCGCAAGCCTTCTTGGTGTTAGTCAAAGTCTCTGCCCAGGTCTGCGCCGACAACTCGAGGCACCGGGCTGGCCGGCGATGTCACCTGGGTCTGCACTGACAACTCAGGGTGGTTCTCACTCGGCATTTTCCTGAACTGTTGGCTGCAGAAATCAAGGAGTGAAGTGCAGTATCTGAATTGGAGTACTGAGGGGATGAAGAGCCCGATCCTCTGTGCCAGACACTTCCCAGGTGGGGCACAGCCCCGCCTTGCCTCAGCTTGCCCTCTTTGGCCTACTCTCCCGCTTTTTTTGGGTTAATCCCACTGTTCAACCAGTCCCTTTGAAATGAACCTAGTTCCTCATTTGGAAATGTGGAGATCACTCTCATTGTGTATCACACTCGCTGGGAGCTGCATTCTGGAGAAGTTCCCTTTTAGCTATCTTCAACTTCTTCTTTTTTCTTTTTTTAATGGAAGCTTTTGTTGCCCAGGCTGGAGTGCAATGGCACAATCTCAGATCACAGCAACCTCCGCCTCCCAGGTTCAAGCGATTCTCCTGCCTCAGCCTCCCAAGTAGCTGGGATTATAGATGTGCGACCCCACACCTGGCTAATTTTGCATTTTTAGTAGAGATGGGGTTTTACCATGTTGGTCAGGGTGGTCTCAAACTCCCGACCTCAGGTGATCTGCCCACCTCAGCCTCCCAAAGTGCTGGGATTATAGGCGTGAGCCACCACACTCGGTCAGAAGACTTTTTATTTAGAAGAAATCTATTTCTTCCCTAAGGCTCTGGAATGGTTGTGAATACCAGGCTATTAGATGATCATGACCAGAGACGCCCATGGAAACCGCTAAGTCAGGCAAGGAAACCGCTAAGTCAGGCAAGGAAACCGCTAAGTCAGGCAAGGAAACCGCTAAGTCAGGCAAGGAAACCGCTAAGTCAGGCAAGGAAACCGCTAAGTCAGGCAAGGAAACCGCTAAGTCAGGCAAGGAAACCGCTAAGTCAGGCAAGGAAACCGCTAAGTCAGGCAAGGAAACCGCTAAGTCAGGCAAGGAAACCGCTAAGTCAGGCAAGGAAACCGCTAAGTCAGGCAAGGAAACCGCTAAGTCAGGCAAGGAAACTGCTAAGTCAGTCAAGTGTAGATACACATATAGGCCTAGGTGAACCAAGCAAGCTAAAAAAATGCAAGGGTTCAAGATTCCTGAAAGTTAATGGTCAGGCCCTGCTCCATCCCCACCATTTCATGAGATATGGGAGCATGGTTAAGTGATGCTCTTCCTAGGCCTCAGTTAGTTTTGGTGGGAACAAAATAATCTTCAAATCTGAATGATACAATTTTTCCACAATACCAATAGCCAATTAACATTTTTATGAAACATTCTTCTGATTCACCTGGCTTTTTTGTTATGGTTAGCTGGAATATCTGGGAAAAAATACCATATAATGTTTTGTATATGTTTTCTTTTTTATTGTGGTAAAATATACATAATGTGCCATTTACCATTTTCAAGTGTACAGTTCTGTGGCATTAACTATATTCACTCTGTTGCACATGCTCTCCGGTTTGAAGTATACCCACCCTTCCTTTTTTGTCTTTTTTAAAAATGATGGATGTATTACTAACCTCTCAGTTCCCGTTGATGATACTCTTTGTTTTTGAGAATGGGGTGTGAAATCCACATCCAGGGATGATGCTTGCGGAGCTGAGGGAGCAGGTAATGTGTTACAAACCCCACGGCGCCAGCCAAGGCAAACAGCACGATGCTGAGAAATGGCTGCGATAAAAATGGACAGAATCTCATTATTTAGCCTAGAGGATCGGGAGAGGGATGCCCATGAATAATACATAACATCATTGTCCTTCCACTTTTTCCTCTTAAAAAATACAGACTCAGTTCTTGTTTCAGGCCTCTGAAAATGTCTTCCCTATACCATGAAATTGGTTCATGTGGTAGAACCAATTTCATATAGTGGTGGAACCTCCACTATAAGAAAGAGGGAGAACTAGTCTGCGGAAGTACAGAGGCCAAGAGAATTATGCCCCTTTGGAATACATTTAAAAGTTTTCTAAGGAGGTGAAGAATAACCCATGTAGCTCATAGACGTTTCCTCTATGAAGGGGGAGTTTATGGATGGACAATATTTTTGTACAAAGACAGCAACTGTCAGGAAGGACCACAGCCAGGAATCCCATCTGGAGCTCCCACTTTGTTTTCATAACTGAACATCCTTTTCCCATAGTCCTTTTGGCTCTGTGACCTCCACCTCACCCTGATACAGTGACTCCTCTCTACTCATAGTAGAGCACTGTCAGCCTGCCTTATCACTATTAACTGACCTCACAGTGGATTCCACAAGATGTGCCATCACTCTTGCAAACAAAACAGCTCCCCAGATGCAGGAAAGGGTAAGGATAAAGCAATGGAACCCAATCTGTGATGTGAACCAAATCACATCTTGGACATAACTGTTCACAGCACATGGATACATTCCCTAAGCCTCTCAATGGGCATTTTGTTTTCTTCCTCTGGCTCACGTGTCTTGTCAATACCCTGTAGCTTCAAGACAGCTTTGTTATTAAGGAGAATAAAGGGGGAGGAAGAGTACAAAGTTGGTGGATACATACTCGCAATGACAGGAATACAGTGCTGGCGCTGACTGCAAATGAGAGGACAGCAACCACTGCGCAGACAATGAGATCCCATTTTAAGACATCCATCTGGAAAGAGAAAACCAGTGGTGAAGGCTGCTCTTCATTTCTCTCAGCAACTCTGTGTGACCCGGTAAATCAAGCAGCAGGACACTGACCCAGGATAAACTGTTTTTCCAGCTCATCACTTACCTGACACACTCAGTGGCACACACTGGATGGGCTGTTCACCTGCTTAGGGAATTTCAGGAAGGCTAAGGTGGGCTGGGGGAGAGTGATGGAGGGGAGGAATCACACACTGTTAGGTTAGTCTATGAGTGCTAACCATAGAAAGACGAAAGGTTTTCTACGCGAGTTAAGAGGCATGAGGTTCTTATTAGGTTCTTGTATCTGATCTGTGTGTCCACAAACACATACCAGATATAAGATTCCCGGAGAGCTCCCCAAAGGGACCTTAATTATTAAGATCTGATAAAGAAGCTCAAAATGCTAATCATCTCTACTTGGCGTTAGGGTGTCTTAGATTTTGGCATTCCAACAACCTGGCTAAACCAAACAGAAGCCTTTTAGACATTTCTTATTGCTTTGGACTAGACCAGATTTTGCATTTTAATTTACCAGTCAGATCACTGGTAAATTAAAGAAACCACTTCAAAATTATTAAATAAATAAACATATACATGCAATAGGTACACGCATTACATGCAGATAATGAAATGTTCAGGAACCAATAATTTTCCACACAAAATTGAGGTGTAAGCAGGGGCTAGGGAAAACAAAGCAAAGTTAAACCCAAGAATGCTGCGAATGCAGACAGACAGAGAATGGCCTGTTAGCTCCAACCAAGCAGAATATTGCTGGCTGAACAATGTAAAACGGACATGAGGACCCATCACTTTTTTTCTCTCTGTAGATGCAGATTAGTTATGGTACACAGTTATTGATCATTTGAAGGTCTCACAGTGTTACCTGAAAACTCTGAAACCATCAATACATTCATACCTCCCTTTCTCATATTGAAGGGAATTATGCCTCGTAAGTCATTGTTTTGACTGTCAGTTACCAGAAATTTATACAGAATATATACCTCCATTTCCCTGAACCCACCCCTTGACCATTTTTTGCTTGTTTTTTAAATTAAAATGTGGGGTTTCTTGCAAGCCATGCTCCTTCCTGGCTTGCTGACTGTATTCTCATCTAAAGTGATAAAAAGAAACAGTGAAAAAGTCAGGATCCTAGATTTATTCATAATATTAATAGTAATCCTATCATTGACCAAGGATAACCAGAGAAATTTAATTCTGAATCTATAAAATGTTTGTGATCAGAGAAATTCATCAAAAATTTACTGTAGTAACAGGCCATATATTGCTTCCTGTCATTCCAATGCTTAAAAAAGGCCAGACCTTTCTAGAGGAACATTCTGTAGTTCACTGCATCTTTAGGCTGTGGGGAGATGTTAATTTTTCTCTCCTATTTTTCAGTGACATGGTTTTATGCCATTTAAAAATTAATGAATGTTTATCTGAAAGAAGATAAACATTTTTGAATAGTCTAATTTAAAATAATTTGTCACGTTTAATTGACTACTTATCTTTGTCTAAAGTCAAAATAGTTGGCCATGAGTACGACTGGTATGGATGTGAAAGAAAGGGAAACGTACACACTGTTGGTAAAAATGTATATTGGTACAGCCATCATAGAAAGCAGTATGGGGACTTTCCTCAAAAACTTGAAAATAGAACTACCATATGATCCAGGAATTCCACTACTATATATTATTCAAAGTAAATAAAATCAGTATGTTGAAGAGATATCTGCACTCCTAGGCTTAACGCAGCTGGAGTGGGGAGGAGGGAAGGCTGTATTTCTAAGTTTCTTAAAGCAGGAGCAGGAATGAGCTGGAATTATTGTTAATCTTTTTTCATTGTTGGACGATATTCTGAGATTCACGTATGGTGTTGTCTGTGTCAATAGTTCATTCATTTTCATGGCTGAGTAGTATTCCTCTGTATGGATAGGAATTCCACTGTGACTTTCATCAGTGTCGTGAGTATCCCGTGTAAATACAGACCATCACACAGTCTTTCTCTATTTATTAAAATGTGCTCTCCACCCATTTCTTTTCTATATTAGAATTTCTAAATAGCTTTATTGAGATACAATTGACATAGCAAAAATCCACATTTATTTAAAGTGCACAACTTAGGCCGAGTGCTACGGTTCATGCCTGCAATCCAAGCACTTTGGGAGGCCAAGATGGGTGAATCACTTTTGGTCAGGAGTTCAAGACCAGCCTGGCCAACATGATGAAACCTGTCTCTACTAAAATACAAAAATTAGCTGGTTGTGGTGGTTCACACCTGTGGTCCAAGCTATCGGAAGGCTGAGGCAGGAGGATCGCTTGAACCTTGGAGGCTGAGGTTGCAGCGAGCCAAGATCACACCACTGCACTCCAGCCTGGGTGACAGAGCGAGACTCTGTTTTCAAAAAAAAAAAAAGTACACAAAGAAACAAGTTTATATATATGTTTTTACATATATATCTCCATAAAACCATAACCAGAATTAAGATAATCAGCCCCCTAATGTTTTGTCTTTTGCCTCTTCCTAATCTATCCATTTCCTCACTATAGCTTTCACTTTCTGTCTCAAGTGATCCTCCTGCTCCAGCTTCTTGCTTTCATTTTCTAGAATGTTATATAAATAGATTCATAAAATATGTATGGTCTGGCTTCTTTCACTCAGTGTAATTATTCTGAGATTCATGTATGGTGTTGTCTGTGTCAATAGTTCATTCATTTTCGTGGCTGAGTAGTATTCCTCTGTATGGATACACCACAATATATTTATCTATTACTTGTGGGTGGACATTTGAAATTGTTCCCAGTTTTTGGCTATTACAAATACAGCTGCAACAAATATTCATGACCATTTCTCTGGACATGCTATTTCTTTTCTCTTCAGTAAATACCTAGAAGAATGGCTCGGTTATGTGGTAGGTTTAGTCTTAACTTTTTAAGAAACTACCATAATCCAATTAAAAATTAGGCAAAGAACTTGAATAGACATTTCTTTAAAATGAGACATACAAATGGCCAAAAAATATTTTAAAATGTTCAACATCACTAATCATTAGGAAAATGCAAATCAAAACCGTAATGATATACCATCTCATCCCAATTAGAACGGTTACTATCAACAAATGCTGATATGGATGTGAAAGAAAGGGAAACGTACACAGTGTTGGTAGCAACGTCTATTGGTACAGCCATTACAGAAAGCAGTATGGCGAGTTTCCTCAAAAAATTGAAAATAGAACTACCATATGATCCAGCAATTCCACAACTGTGTATTGTTCAAAAATAAAATCAGTTTGTTGAAAAGATATCTGCACTCCCAGCCTTAATGCAGCATTATTTTATATATGATTTCACATTTTGTATATATGGTATATGTTAGGATCACAGCAAGGCAAGCCCATGGACCCCCTCCCCATTCTCCCCTGCTAAGCTGAGCTCACAACAAAAACAGCCTCAACTCTTGTAAACAGGGCACCTGGGTTCCAGGGTGTGGTTGCACGTGGCTCTCAAACCCAGGATGGTGACTCAATTAAGATGAATGTTAGCACCTAAGAACCAAGATGCAGTTTTTCTTAGAATAGCACCTAGCTACCTGCAAACCCCCTATATAACCTCCATAGTCTGTAAGCCAGGCTGCTGCCTTCACTGCCTGTGGTGAGGCAGCCATCCTGGCAGGTTGAAATAAACTTGCTAAACCCGATCCTTTCAGTCAACCTTATAATATATATGAAATACATATCACGTATAGAAAATATATAGAAAATGTGATACACACACACACACACACACCCCACCATGAAATACTATTATCCATAAAAAAGAATGTAATCTGTCATTTTGCAGCAGTGACATGGATGAACCTGGAGGACATTACATTAAGTGAAATCAGACAAACACGGAAAGACAAATACCACGAGTTCACTTATTTGTAGAATCTAAAAAAGCCAACCTCATAGAAGTACAGAGTGGAATAGTGGTTTGTAGAGGCTGGGAGGGGAGAAGGAAGGGAGAGGAGAAATTGTTCAATGAGTACAAAATTATAGTTAGAAAGAGTAAATTCTGGTGTTCTATGGGATAGTAGGAAGACAGCAGTAACAGTATCATAAGGTATATTTCAAAATAACTAGAAGACAGGATTCTGAATATTCTTACCACAAAGAAATGATAAATAAGTGCGGTGACATTCTAAATACCATCACTTCATCATTGCACAATGCATATATGTATAAGAACATCACAGCGTACCCCCACAAATGTGTACAAGTGTCAATTGAAAGCAAAATTAAAAAAAGAAACTGCCAAGCTCTTTTCAAAGTAGTTGTAACTATGTTACATTCTCAACAGCAGCCTGCGTGAGTTCCAGCTGTTCCCTAGTCCTGTTAATCGTTTTTAAAATTTTAACCATACTAGTGAATATATGTCTCCTAGGGCACATTTTGCAGTATCTGGGGACATTTTTGTTTTTACAATTTGAAGAAGGAGAGAAATAATACTGCCATTTAAGGGGTAGAGACCAGGGATGCAGGTAAACATCCTACAATGCACAAGACAGCCCCACCTCCCCACAGCCAAGGAAATATTGTGAGGCTCAAAATGTCAACAGTGCTGAGTCCATTAAGGTTTCTAATTGTGAAATGGTATCTAATTGTGGTTTTAATTTGTGCTTTCCAATGGCTAATGATGAACATATTTTCATGTACTCAATTTAAAATAGTATTTATAATAGCAACGAAAAATATACTAGGTTTAAATTTGAGAAAAAAATACATACAAGTCAAAAACCACCAAACATCAGTAAAGAAATGAGAGAAACTAAAGAAATAAATGGGGAGATATACTGCATTCCTGGATTTGAAGATTCAGTATTGTTAATAAGTCAATTCTCACAAAACTGATTGATAAATTCAATGTAATTATAATGAAAATTCTAGCAGAATTTTATTTTTAGAGAGGGACATGCTAATTTAAAAATGTATATGGAAGTACA